CACGTACCTCAGTTGCAGTTTGTCCCCGGCCCTGGTTGGGTCATGTGGGTGGCAACCACTCGATGTGTCCCTTTCACGTCAATGTTTCTCTCTCTCTCTTCCTCCCACTGTATCTAAACAAAAAATGGAAAAATGTCCTCGGGTGAGGATAAAAAAAATAAAAAATGAGACAATGATAAAATAACTTTTACCTTTCACTTATGAATACTACAAAAATATTTTTAATCAAACATATTAGCATCAATAACAATACTTTAGAGAACAAAACTGAAAAGCTTCATTATTTTTTAAAATCTTAATTTAATTTAATTTAATATTATTGTGATTTAGTATTCTAGTTCAAACTTCAGGATTCAGTTGATTTTGAAACTTGATTATGACTATACACTGAAAAATTCCCTCAGAATACCAAGGCTACCACATCAATCCACTTTTAGTAAAATTTTATTTCTTCCTTGTCTTATGCATAAAAATGACCATAATTAATAGTTCTAATGCTATCTTCTGCTTCTTTGAAATTTTGGGTACTCTCCTTTGAGGTCTATGACGCAAATTACTTGAAACCCCTAACCAGCACAACTCAGTCTCTCAAATGCTTTCCAGATTAAGACTAGATTTGAAGCCAGGACTAATTTTCCATGGTCACCCCAGGTCAAATAAGATTCTTAAGTTCCTATGATCTGGGCCTTCACCCAAAAGCTGTTCCAAAACCAACCTGCAGGAATGAATGGACAAGTATAATCTTTCCAGGATACTTACCCTAACACATTTCATTATACAAAGATAATAATGAGCAGTAATATCTTCCTGTCTTATACAACATTCGTTCACTCATTTAGATACATCTGTAAATGCTAGGCAGCCTACTGACACAATCATGTACAAGTGTATCTTAAATATGCTATAATGTACTTCCATTTGCAGAAGAGCTGAAAGAAAAAGTGTGATTTGTGCCCCATCGGGTGGCCAAACTGGAAATTTCAAACAAGTTCCAGCAAGGCAAGCAAACCCTAATGAATCAACACAATACCTTTGGGAAATTGAAGCCTACAACACAAGTGTTCTCATAGAAGAGGTCTATAAATGAAAATCACAATAATGTTATGGCAGTGCTTTCTTACACTTGAAAATAAGGAGATATGCAGTTATGCAGAATCTCTCCTTTCCTAAATCCTGCAACAAAAAATTAATCCATGACTATCACCGTTCATTTAAGTTAAATAATAGTTTCTTTGGGTCAGCTTTCCATTCACAGATTAAAATCTCATCAAACATTTTTGAAAGAACACTAATAATTTAAAAGAATGTTATTAATAATAGTCCTTTAAATTCTTTTTTCTTCATATATCAAACATAATTAAACCATACAAACATAAATTTAGAGCCAGATGAGCCCTTAGAAAATATAAGGCTGTGAATTAGAAACCATCAAATCTGGTTGGCTTTGGTAACAGAAGAAGAACTTAAAGCCCAGAAAGAAAATGATTTAATCAGGGTCACAGAGCCAGGCTAGTATGACCTGACTCCCAATGCTTAAACATCTGTGCTCAAGAGTCTAGCTATCTACATATGATCCTGGACTAGTGACTTAACGTCTCTGGACCTTAATTTCCTTGCTTGAAAAAAACAAGGAGATAATCTCTAAATTTCCTTTAAATTCTAAAATCCTAAAATGTAGGTACCTCATTATTTTAGTATCTTTCAAAGCTACAGCATACACTGACAAAAACCATTTCTGATTCTTGAGAAACCAAAGAAGCCCAGGACCCTGGGGAAGAAAACACAAGTCAGCAGCCTAAGGCACCAAATATATTTGCTTCTTTTGCTAATATTCTGTAAAATATTAACATAGTCATACTAGTCTATTTGGTTGAAACTGGTCTAAGTTAATTTTAATTAATCAGTTACAGAACTCTAAAATATACAATCACTGATTCTAAATTTTTTTAAAAAGTGTTCTTACAAAGATTTATTTATGTTCTATTTTATATGCCAAGATTTACACTCAGATGGATTACTGGAAACAGGAACAGTCTACGCTCATTTGTGTTTATTCTTTATTCTTTGTACAAAAAAAAAAAACTATTCAGAAGTGAATCAAATAGATTTTCTTTATACAGTTCTCCATGCTGCTCTGTTCTTTTATGCTTTCTTATTCTGCCTATTAAGACCTAGTTTAGGACCTCTACAATTTAAATCGTTTCCAATTAGAAACTCCAATAATTTTCAAGATATTTATAGATCACTAACAAATAATTTTAACAATCCAAGGAAGAAAAATAAAAGTTAAATAAAAAACCTATGAACTACACTGAACCTTAAAAATCTCTGACCCTATGGAAAGGCAAAAACACTGTCCCCAGGGTTTCATGGCTAACATATACAAGAACCAGGACTTACTGTGTGACCGTGTATACACAATAATATATATAATTATAGATATAAAACAAAATTGTCAGCTTCTATGTAGTGCTCTGTTTATTTCAAGTAAAATTTAACATAGCGAAATGACATAAAAACCAAAGATGAAGCATAATGGTTCACAGCACTAGAAACCACCACAGGCTAGAAATCGGGTAATATACCAAAATACAACACCAATGTTTGAATAACAAATTCAAGTGTCTGTTCTACTAAAAGTGTCTCAAGAGCATCATCTTCATACATGAGAAGCTACATGTTATTGCATTACAAGAAGGTTCTCTTTTCTAGCAAAGGCTAAGATCTTTTATGATGTTATTTTTTTCCCCTAAATTTTTAAGCTGCCCAAATTTCTGGATACTAAATACTCTTATGTATGCCTCTTTAGGTATTTTTAAAGCTCTTAAGAAACAATATACAACACATACCTCCTAGCCCTATTTTAAACAATGTCTTTAATCTCTCCAATTCACAATGAAAAGTGCTCCTTATAATTTTGCCTACCAAACAATGAGCTTATCCAGGACAGGAGTCACACAGTAGGGACTCTCTGCAGAATAAAATTTCAATTATCCACAGTAAATGAATTTTTCAAAAAATGGTTTATAATTGGCCTGGGAGAGATAATGCAATCACACATTTATTCAGGAATTTTGTCCCTCTTGTGACAAACCTAGAGTAACCATTTAAGACTAGTATCCAAATGGAGCATATATGTGAATGAGGAGTCCCAGAATTACTGTGGTTACTCCAGCCACAAAGCTGACATTACAAATCAAGAGGTAATTGCATTTTCAAACTAAATCATATGCTTCCACTTCCAGCCCCAGATATTCCAAATTAATACAATCCTATGAAACAGTTAAGTGCTGTAACACTTAAAATGAATCATAGCATACAGCCACTATTACTTCTGCCCAAATCAAGCATGCCATACTATACAGCAAGTACAAGATGTTGCCTCAGCATGCTATGTCCTACGCCTCTATGAAGAACTGGCAGTGGTGCTGAAAATTACTACAAGCAAGATGAAAGACCAATACCCTCCTTTCAATAAAAACCATCGTCTGGACTCTAGCCAAGGTTTTAAAACTGACTAAATGTTATTAAGAACAATAAATCAAAAACTCTCCAGGCTGAAAAGCTAGTTCCTTATTTCATTCTTACAAATGTAGCCACAAAACACTGTAAGAAAATTAAGTGACAAGAAAAGCATTAATAATTTTAGGCCTTTCATTTCTGGCAATAATCAAATACTGTATGTTACAAGGTGAATTTATTTTACAATCTTCCAAGGTTCTGTTTAACCTACCTACATCCCTCTCCCCGTCTTCTTCAATTATTACAACTGCTATATGAATAAACTCGTGCTATTGACTAAACATCCTATCACTGAACGTGAATGTAAATGAAATAGAGGACTAAAATATTTTATTTCAAAAAATCTAGCTAGCATACGTGTGTTCATATTGATTTTGTACTCTTTGTTCTTGCACATAATATAGATGTGAATTCCTGGAGCTCACAGAGAAGTCTTTCTTTCTCTATCCAGGAGCTGAATTGCCAGCTACTGAGAATAACCTATTGCTTTGCTTAAATCCCTTCAGGTATCTTACCTTCTGAATCTATAAATGGGTTCATTATCTTTACTTTTCCCTGTATTAATGTAAGGTTCCTTATCACTATCTATTAAATACCACACAAGAGCTGTTATCACAGAAATTAGGGGGGAGGGGTACCATGTTTCTCTAATACGCAGGTATGGCTTAAAAGTACATTGTTTACAATACAGTACTTTTCTCCCTAGTTAACAAAAATGTTGGGGGGGGGGATAACCTGAATTTTTTAATAATTCTCTTCTTTCTTCCTTCCTCTTCCCCTTCAATCCCTTCCAAACCCGAAGAGCCAAAACCTGAAATAGGATTACTTTGTGTACTTCATGCAATCAATAAAAAGACGAGACTTGTGATAAAACAGAACAGTTGACTACAACACGTCTGCACACCGTACCCACTGCATCTGTGATACACATTTCAATCAAGTTTTAACCCAGTTACAAAGCCTTTGTCGACAGTGGGCAAGTGCGGAGACGCAGAGGGGGCTGCGGGGCGACGGAAATCGTCGGAGGGGCTTATCCTGGAAGAGGGTTCCGCGGAGAGGTGAGAGGAGCAACCCGAGCGAGCCCGGTCGCGGGGGCGCTCGCCGGGGTGGGCACGCGAGGTCAGGGTGACGGGGATGCGGGAACCAGCGCGGAGCTCCGCGACCCCGGCCGCCCTCCACCCCGAACCCCACTGCGCTCGCCCTCCCACCGCCGGGCCCCGGCCCCGCGGGCAGTGCCCTCCCTGCCGGCCCGCCGCCTTCATATCCGTTACCCCGCCGGCAGCGGGGCCGCGGGGGAGGGGAAGGTCAGCGGGGCCCGGAGGGCCGGCGCGGCGGGGATGCCGCAGTGGCTCCCGCAGCACCGGGTCAAAGTCCGCCCCGGCGCGGGGAGGCAGCAAGAGCGGAAGGCGGCCGCGGAGGTCGCACTGGCGAGACGGCGGCCCCTCTGAGCCCTCCCACACCCCGGCCGCCGCCGGTACCTCATACTGGATGTATTGCTTCCTCCACTCAGGAGTGATGTGCGCGGAGAGGTGCTCGGCAAACTTCATCCTGACGTTTCCCCCTCACTCCCACTCGGGTCCAACAGTTACAGGCGGCGGCAGCGACGGCGGCGGCGGCAACAGCGATTCCGACTCCTCCCCACATGGGCCCCGGCGCGGCGCGGCGCTGAGCTTCTCTCCTCCTCCGCCGCCGCCGAGGTCTCCTCAGAGCCGCCCTCCCGCCATCTTCCTCCTCCTCTCCATAGCCCCGCCCCGTCCCGCCCATTTACGTCATCGCCATGGTAACCGCCTACGCCGCGCCGACGGAAGGGACTGGGTAAGGGGCGGGGTTTGGCCGCATTCCTTAAGGCCCCGCCTCTTTTGGGCCGGACGTGCTGGAGGCACCTCCCCTGACCTCTTCCGTCTGGCTCCTTTTGGCCTTACAGCTGCTCTCTACAGTCGGCCTGGGTAGCTGCAGTGCTGTTATTGCTTTTAATATTAATACTGTAGCAACAGTCATCCACAAAAGACGTTTGTATTTGCAAAGAATTGTGCTAATGTTTTCTATTTTAATATTTATTCTTCAAAAAACCCTTAACTTACCTACATGGATGGATCAGAATTAATCCAAATTGAGTAACTAAAACAGGCTAATAGTTAAAAGCCACAGGTATTTAAAGGAACCAGATTTTACCTGCTCTAGGTGCTCAATAAATGCTTGTTGAATTTAACTAAAGACATCATTACCAAAAATTGCATGCTGCTTCTGAATTTCAATGTAATTATCCAGTCCAGGATCTACCAGAAAAGCCAGTAACAACACATAGCCTCAAACCAGGACTGGGGCAGTACCAACTGGACCTGTGAGTAAGCTTTCTGAGGATTAGGAGTAGGGTTTAAAGGGAAACCAATGTTGAGAGGAAAGAAAATACCCTAGAGGTACAGTAGCAACCTCACACCCAGGAAGATCAGAAATGGGTCCAGCATGCAGGCTGAACTATCCTCCAAGAACATGGGACACTACTTTGAGTGTAATAGTAATTGTCCTGGAAGACCTGACTTGGGACAGAAACCCAGGTCCTTCCCTGATTGGAGGAGCCCTAGATAATAATAGCTAACATTTATTAAGCACTCACTGTCCATGTACCAAACACAATTCTAAATTTCTTACATGTCCTTTAATTTTTAATTTTTACAAATTAAAAATTTTGTCTTTTATTTCTCTATGTATTTTTCCCCTTTCCCTTCCTCTTAATTCATGCCAGTAGGGGTTCTGCAATCATTGTCTCAGGAGAGGAACCAGGCATAATGGAAAACAGGCATAGGCTATGAGTCTTTCTGACTTTTGTTATACAAAAGCCTCAACCTTTTCTCAAAGTGTAATCAGGGTCAAAAAAAAAAAAAAGAAGAAGAAGAGAAGAGAAAAAGGAGTGAGGACTCCTCTCAGCACCATACCCACTGCCCACCATAACAATTCCCTTCTACTGGAGGTAAATGTTGCCAGGAGAAAGAGCTCAGCAAAACAGAGGGCTATACTCCCAGGAAGAAGGCACACCACAGAGAGGAAATAGCTGTACAGTGTACCTAAGAAGATGGAACCAGGAGCAGCTGCAAACGAGATTGCTGGGCCTTTAGCCAGAATGGACTAGAATGGTAGATTCTTGGCAGCAATTCCTGTAGACTATGGCATCCTGCTCCCAAACAGCACCATATCTTGGTGCCTTAACAGTGCACAGTATTCTGGAACCATGGTCCAACCCAGAGAAGAAAAGAAATCCTCAACACTAGCTTTATAACCAACAATTCTTAATTTTTCTCATGCCTGATCTGGAGTCCTGAGACTCAGTTGAATATGAAAATCCTAATTTATCTACAGAAGTAGACTTACTAATAAGTTTCCTTACTCCTAGCATTACTTCATATATTTCACTGATAGAACCATCATATACTTAGCATTTATTGGAAGTAAACACTTTCTGTAGAACAGTGGGCTAGGTACTATGAATGATATTCTGAATAGTTTTACTCTGAATCAGAAGGGTCCCAGGCCTTACACTTTTTTCATAAATAAGCACATAACTCTTCATTTAACAAAACTTTATTGAGCACTATGATATGCCAGTCATGCCATTTTGAGAATGAAGGACAGTTCAAAAATAAATAAGACTGTGTTTTTCTTAGAGGATATCACAATCCAGTCAGAAATTTAGGCAGACAGACTAATAAGTAGACCACAGTGTGATATGTGCTGTAATTGAGGCAAGTACAAGGAAACACACATCCAACTGGATGATGATCCAGAGAAGGTGATTTTGAAACACAGTCTTAAACAATAATCTGACTGGGAGAAAGACACCTAAAAATCTCAAAGACAAAACGTAAGGATTCAGGATTGTTAACAAATGGCAAGAAATTGTCTGACCAGAATATTCTTTAAGGCAATTAAGTGTTTCCTCCTCAAAGAAACTCTCCCTATCCCCTCCTCTCTCTTCCCCAGGCTGGCCCCCATGTCCACCTGGTGCACACCCTTCACTGTATTGTCAATAATAACTTGTGTAAGACAATGAGCTCCTTCAAGACACATTGTTCATTTCTCTTGTTTTCTCCAATTTAGCATGGTGCCTGGCTGGCATTCAATCATTCAATAAATGTTGAAGGAACAAAGGAAAGAAAGAAGAAAGGGAAGAAGGGGGAAAGGGAAGGAGGATGGAAAGGACAGTCCACATGAAGGGAAGTTGAAGGAAATAAAGTTAAGTGGAAACAACACTGTGAAGGAATAGATCATGTCAGCATAGGCAGTGTGGGGTCTTTAAAGAGGTTTAAGCAGTCAGCCTTGGGAAAGTGGTATAATGCTACTTCCTGGCTTTGAACACTGGCTCAGGGAAAAGACAGACCTGACTTAAAATCCAAACTCTGGCATTTGAAATCTGTGTGATCTTGAACAAAGTACATTTTCTCTTAAGGCCTCGGTTTCTTTATCTCTCAAATAGGGGTAGTAACACCTCCCTAACAGGTTGTTATGAGGATTAAATGAGATACTACATATAAAGCACTGAGCACAATGACTGGCCTCTGGTTGACTCCTCAAAAATTGGCTGCCCCTCTAAAACCTCTGTTAGCTGTGTGAAGGATGGACTAGAGTGGAGGCAAACCAGAGGCCAATTAATTGACAAGCACCTATATAGCACTTACTCTGTGCCAGATGCTGTTTTAAATGCTTTAGAAATACAGCCGTATTTAATCCTCACAAGGACCCCAGGAGATTGCTACTGTCATTATGCCCATTTTAGAGATGAGTACAATGAGACAGCACAGTTAAGAATCTTGCTCAAGGTCACCCACCTAGTAAGTGGTTGAGCTGGGTGTGAACACTGGCAATCCAGCTCCAGAGTCCTTGCTTTTGACCACTACATTATGCTGAATGTTGATACAACAACCCACACCAGCTATAGTGATGGAGAGAAGGAGGTGTGACATGTGACTCTCTAGTGACTGAGTAGAGGGTGCTGCCATGAACTGAGATAAGGAATGGAAGTGGAGGGCAGGTTTGGGTCATTATTGGATGTGTTAAATAGTTAGCAACCTATGAGACATACAGTACTCCAACTGACGATACAGAACTAGAGCTTGGGGAAAAAACAGTAATGACTAAAGAGCCATTCACATTTAGGTAATAATTAAGTCCTGGTAAGTCTGCCCGGAAAGAGAGCATACACTGAAATGGAAAAGGGTTCAAGGGAACTTCCTGGTGTGAGCCTGATAATGAAGGTGGGACAAGGTATGGCCAGACTGGGCAGCAAGAGCATTAGGAGAGAGTAGTGTCAAGAAGGCCATAAAAAGATGGAATTTTCATAATGGAGGCAGTGATCAAAAAATGTCAGAATCTACAGAGAAGTTGAGTAGGGGTGACTTCTAGGTCATTGGTTTAGCAATTAAAGAGTCACTAGTAACCTCAGAGAAAGTGGCTTTGATAGCATGATGGGTTACGGAAGGTTGAGCAGTAAACGGCATTTTGTTTTTGTGTATCCTAAATTATATTTATTCTGTGTACATGTTGTAGGATCACCAAAAGTGAAAATTTAATAGCATACTCAGCTATTTACCTAGAAATTCATAAGTGCTGAGTCTGAACACTTTATATTTATCACATGTAATTCTAAGTTTGGGAACAGTTATACTTACCACAAAGTAACTGTTCTAAAACTTAGAATTATGTGTGATAAATATAAATATTGCACTGTTGCTTAAGCAAATGAAACTAGTGATCATGCTGAAGAGCGAGGAACTGACCTGCAGAAGGATCAAATCTTATACTGTACCTCCCATTGACGCTGAATAAGAAGAATGTTCAGAATGGTTTAGAGATCTGGATTAGAGATTTCAAGGGATTTTTACTCCGTGTATTTTTGTGTTGCTTTCAATGTCTACAAAGTGCATTTATCAAATCTACAAAAACAATAGTGTTAAATAACCCCAGAACCAGCGATGCCCCAGGAGTGTGAAAGAGTGTCTGTGCAGTATTAGACAGTGTAAGCCACAGGGAAGAAACCAATGGACTAGGAGATACAGAAAATCAAGGGAATGGGAGCTCAAGCTCGGGCCCATGAAAGGCTGAAGAGCACAGACAAAGGGAGGGATTAGTCTCTGCCATCATTTGAGAGGAGACTTGACATCATTTGAGACTTAGGGGTGAGAGTGATAGTAGTGATTGGGGAAGACATATATGAGTTTGTAGTTGGAGGGGAGGGAATTTAGGGGAGTTGCCCATAAACTTCCTCTTTCCTCTCTGGAGGAGATACATTCATCCGTTTGCTTGGGGAAATGGGAGCAGAACTGGGAAAGAGGTGTTCTAGTAGCTCCTTGAGTTTGGAAACTATTTACTTGTAATGGAATCAACGGGGCTGATTTTATCAATTTTTCCAGCTATACTCAGCAGTCTAGGAGCAGGGGATGAGGGAAAGAATAGTGGGATTGCTCCAAGATTAGGAACTTCAGAAATTGCCTCAAGACAAGGAGATAAAGACATCGAGGTACTAATGGAAACAAAAGAATAATTTTTTTTTGTATTTCACATGTATTATTTAATCTTCATGGCAACGGATAAAGATTAAAAGGATATTAGGATAAAATATTATAGCAAAGGATAAGGATTATAAAAGGATATTATAATGTCCATTGTGCAGATGAGAAAACTGAGGCTTAGGGGATATGGTGGGCATTTGCCAGGTGTTGGAGCTGCCTTCCTAGATGGCAGCATCCTCCATCTCTTAGATCTTGATGG